ACACATCCCATTTTCTTTTAGCCTACATTTCTGTACTCCTTGTAGCTGCGACAAGGAAGTGTTTCTCCATACATTTCCATTACCTGTTATGCTTTACACTACTAAAAACACTGGATATTATTTATTTGTCTGGTTGACTGACAAAGCCGGGCATCAAAGCATCATTTGGTGTCACATACTTCAACGCTCTAATCTTTCAGAACTTGTAAAGCAATCTCTTACGGCGCTTTGTGGGCTGTGAGATCACCCTGACAAACTGTGATAATGTTGGCAATCTCCAAATGGGTGTTCATTTGCAATCTTACTACAGAGGAATTGCTATGTTTCCAAATTTGAGGGCTTGACATAATCTGTCTTCACAAAGCTATCAGGGTCTGTCATAAGGCTGTCTGTGACCCAGGGATTTTATGGGGTCAATATCTATCCCCAGCGCAACTTCACTGCAAGCAGTGGAATTGCCTAGAGTATGACTTTCTCTATCTATTTGCTTTCTTTCTCTTTATTTAAAATAAACCTTCATGTTATTTTTTTTTTTAGGTGCAAACAGCACCTACTAATAACATCTGAGCAAGGTAGGTGAGATTACTCCTCCAAACTGTGGCCAATTTCTTACAGTTCATGCCACACCCTCTGCTCCCCTCATCACACTTAGCGGCTGAGAAACAATGCAAATGTCAGGTCAAGCTACAAAGCTATTGCCATCATCTCTTCCCTTCCGTATGCTCCCAGTACTGGCAGTCTCTGGGCTGCAGTCCACAGGATATCCACAATTATGGCCCAGATTGAGGGAGGGGTAGAAAAATGATGGTACTCTGCCAATTATGTCAGAACCTAAACTTGATCCATTTTAAAACTGAAGCTGGGGACTGTGGGATAGCACTGTGTTCTCTATAATCTGTCTAAAGAAAGGAAAATAACTTATCATCTTCAAAAAAAAAAAAAAAGAAAAAGAAAGAAAGAAAAAGACAGTGTTAGTGCAGACTTAAAATAAATAACTATTTTATATTTGCCTCTGGTCCTTATCCTTTACTAAAGAAATACGTTGTCTGGACATAGAAGGAAGATTTTTAAAATGCCATAAGACTGTTAAGCACCCCAAGAAAAAGTGATACAGAGAGAGCGTCATGCCTGTTATATCCACGAGGGCCACAAAACTGCTAGTGAAGTAATTTAGTTTTGAAATTACTTAGGATTCCTTTAGAAAAGCCGGGAACGCAGGATGGAAATAGAAAACTAAAAAAAGTGCATCCAGTGTTTCAAAATAAGTTCCCTGTACAACACCCTTTCCCTGCTATCTTCTCCTGAGGCAAACTTCCCAGCTCAGCAGTGCCTCACACTTACCAGAAGATCCTCCCCAAATCCTGCTGCTCAGGGTGTGAGTGAGCTGCTGGGACCTGGCCACAGAAGTCCATGACAGAGCACAGGCGCTCCATGTCAGAGCAGCACTGGAGCACGGGCTGAACTTTAAACACTGGCTTGGATATTCTGCTGAGCTAACGTTGGGATGTTTTTCTATGTTTAGTATGTTTTTACAAAAGAAGTTCTCTTCCTTGGATTATTCCATCTAATCAAAAATTGGTAAAGATGCACCGTACTTTGTTTTATCCCCATTTAAGCTATTTCATTCTCTCTGCATTTCATTCTCCATGGAAAAGGAAAGAGAGTGCCACTATCCAAACTGAGCAATAAGGACCTAGCTGCAACGCTAATGGAAAATTTTGGGACCCAAATAAATTCAAAACTTGTATTTTGGCATGAATTTACAGCAAACTTGCTCCTCCTCCTGAAACGCCCACAGCTTTTACCAGGAGCAGCAATTATCCCTTGCGTCTCCTTAATCCTTCAGAAAAGAATGCACAGCCTTGGAAGCCCAAGGTAAATGTTTTAATGTGTCTGCTATCTTAGTGAAGTCAGTAGGTTGCATGGATATTAAAAAAAAAAGGTTGCATGAAAAAACAGTAGAAAGACCCACGGGCTTCAAAAGGTTAAACAGCTTCACTAATACGAACGCTGAAGTTGGGACAGTCCTGAACAGAGCAGTGAAAGGGGTATGTGCTTTTCCTTCTTAAAACTCCTTTCTTGAGGGCAAATGATTTTATCTCACAGTAAGCTGAAAATTGGTGAGTAGACTTATATACTAGTTATTATTTGACTCTTTTTTACATAAATCTATTTTTAAAGACAAACTCAAAGGAAAAAGCCCTACCTCTCAGCTAGTGTTACTTCAGAAGGTTTTTCCTAGTCACAGACAAATTATAGTATTATTTGTCCTTTCAAATGTCCAGATTTTTAGTATTTTCAATACTGACAATAAGATACTGTACACCTAAAATTTTGTGAAAAGTAAAGAAAAAAGACCATCATTGGTAGATCACTATTTATAGATGGAAGGAACACAGAAACATATTAAATTTACCTAAAACAAGGGGGTTTATACCATGACAGCAACTTTTAATGTAATTCATTTGTCTTATAAATTACATCCCTGGGGATAACCCTGAAAATTAATTAGGTCAGAGAGGGAAGGAAAACAAATTGAAAACTTCTCAGGACTCCAGGAAACAATACATTTTAAACACAGCAGTATCAACAATCTCACTATAAAGTTCTTCCCTCCTCTTCCCCTATTTGTCTTTCCAGAGACCAAGATAATCAGATTGAGAATCATCTTGGCCCACCAAGGTCAAGCAAACCATACACGTTCAAGTACAGAATATGGCTGAAATTTAAGCTTTTGCAAGCAGCTTTCCAAACTAAAAACTCCCTGGAACAATTCTGAAATATAATTTAGTAAAGACATTCATTGTGACAATGTGGCTTTTAAGCCCAAAGCTCCAGTCACGAAATGTGGACATGATACATTCATCACAAAACACAGAAAAGCAAAGAAGAGGAAGGCAACAGAAGACAATAAGAATTTTAGACGAGTTTTAATACTCGCCAAATTCATCCTCAAATAAAAACTCTGAAGGTTTGCCTTTTCATTAGCCTCTCTAGAGTTTAGGCAGAAAGGAACTTGCCCATGTACTTTTCCTGTAGCACCCTGTCTTCATTCTGTGCAAGAAACAAGACTTAGCTTTTTTCACTCTTTTCAACACAGTTCACCAAATTGGAAGTGTTGACCCACATGCACAAAATCAAAGACATTTTCTGATCCCACTTGTAACATAAATCAAATTTCGTACTTCCTGATGCCTGTGCCACCTTCCAGTACTAAGGGAAGAATAGAAAGATGACAAAATGCAGGGGAGTAACTGAGTTGATGGTGCTTGAACACTGAAACTTTAGGAGACTGCACTAACAGATAACTCCACAGTACAGACCTGGATCATGTGAGGGCATGAGATCACATTTCTGCCAGTCCTTAATATGTGTTAACATTAGCAGCAGGGAACAAAAGGTATCAGATAAGGCATGGAGCTTGCTGGTAAAAGTCAACACATCAAAATATATTTTAAAAACTGCATCAGAGAATTTATAATGGATCCGTGCTTTGCATTTTGAGGTGACAGAGTTCTCGATCTGGTAGAAAGTTCCCAAATCTCAGTTTACTACACTGTCAAAATATAGCCTAAGGGGACAATCTGACTTACAGCATCTTCATGACGATGAAAGAACCTCGCTTGGCTTTTAGATCCCAAGTTTGGCTCAAGATAGTGCAGTAGAGAACAGAACATCCTCTATTTTACTCTGGGTGTTCACAGTGTTCCTCTTCAGCACAGAATTAGGTTTTACTGTATAGAATTCTCACACACAGCTTGATGATGGGTTAGAATTCACACCTTCAGATTTTGGGGATATACTTCACACTCTGCATTATTACTGCTACTAAAGACACAGATTAGAGTGTCCTCATGTCATTGTAGCATCTGTAATGGAAATCTTTAGAAAATTCAGGGAAAAACTGTGTCTTTTACAAGGCCACAGCATGTCTTATTCAGCTTTGGAAAGGCTTCAGAGCACAGCAACCACATTAATTGGACATTATATGGACAGCCAAGTATAGCTCAGTTACTGTGCAGCTTTTACTGTTTTTTGTCATGTTGCTTCAAAACACATTTCATGTTTTAACCAGTCATATATACATATGAAAGCATTTCACAACACTGGACAATGCCACAGATCCACAGGAAATAATTGTTTCACAAACATGAAGCAATCTGCATGAATATAAACAGTGTGGCCCAAATCTGTTCTAAATTATGTGTCTACAAACCTATGGAAGTCAACTAGAACCACTAACAGAATAGAACAGGTAAGAGCACATAAAAATAAAAAATATGGCTCTACTATTCACGATCCAAAGCCTTCTTCCAGCCTGACATCACTTACATTTTCCTACTTTCCCAGCATGGATTTACAGGAAATAAGAAAAAACAGAGTATCTGGGATTTCTAGTTCTTTCATGTACTGGAGGACACAAGTCCAGGAACATATGGGCTTAAATGTGTCAGCATCCTACATCACTCTTATTTCAAGAATGTTATTAATTTTTGTGGGTGGAGTCCAAAATTTTAATGCCATATCAACACACAGTGGCTGTTTCTGTAATGCGTATGTCACAGGGAGCATATGTGTAGCAGTTCAAGGATAGCATTTTAACTTGATTTCAAGTGACTTTCTTAATTGTAATACTCTCAAAAGATGAAGTACTGATGCTACTAGCAGGGTATTTAACAACTTCTGTCTTCATAGTTTCATACAGTCACCTCAATTCTGACCTCTAGGCAAAAAGCAAAGCTAATATCAGAAGACTCTTTTCCATGCTAACTTTACACTAAATTTCAATTCAAATCTTCTCAAACGAATTAGCCTCTTTACCAAACTTGCAGGTACAGATACTGTGGGAATCAGCCATGTAACTGTTCCAACTGGATACAGTGAGAAAAGTATTGCCAAGGGCTTTTCGGCTGTGACTCAACAGGTGGTTTGGCACTGAGATTTCTACCTGTTTGTGGTTTTCATCTCTGGTTTCAAGACAGAAAATGAGATTATTATACCTTTCAATGCTGCATCTCAAGCAGGCTGTATGGAGAGCAAGGTTTCATTCCAACCAAATCTCTCTCTCTCTTGCAAGGTTGAGGAAAACTGCCAACCACTGCTGCTCTTCACATCAACATGAGATGGAGATGTCAGGAAAGGGAAAAGTAAAGGGAGAGAAGAAAAGCAAAATAAAATTGTGAGTTTTACATAAACAATAAACTGTACCTAGTGACTACGTCAGAGAAAACCAAAATAAAAAGTACTGGCATTAATATAAGGAAATAAATAAACAAAACCTTGGAACAGCTTAACCTAAGAGGTTGGTTGTGGGTTTGATCTTTTTTTTTTGGTTTATTTGATTGAGAGAATAATTTTTACATTTCTTTTCAAAAGATAGAATACTTTGAAAACATATGATAAACTTAAAGCACAATATTAAAGAAGCGAACCTATCATAGCATCAAAATTAACCACTCCATTACTCAGACAGTAGCCTAAGCCCCTTCAACAAACATCCTGCAAAGCAGCAGAAGCACTCCCAACATATGTTCTTGCCTGCAAATAGCCCAGGGTGCAAGAGGTAGGTTTCATTTTTTGGTTTTTAAAGTCTTCTGCATAGGCCTAACTCTGCCTTTGTTGAAGGTAGTGTTAACACACATGGCATACAGAAGGAACTGAATGTGGATAACTGCATACTTCAAAAAATCACACCCAATATGTTCAACTGATGCCACTGTTCCCTGAGGACAAGTGTAGGCTATGGAATACTACAAATAATAGAGAGTAGCAGTCTAAAGTACACTTTTCAGAACCAAGAAAGCAGAGTTTCCACAGATAACTGGGAATGTGCATCTTCAAAATAGTAGTCAAGAGTAGGTAAAGACTGTTTAGAGATGCTTACTGTGACAGAATTCTCAATGCCTTTTCATAAAATAAGAGTTCTTCAAAGCAACTCTCAGTAACCATTAAGAGAACAGTCAGTGAATCTATGCTTTTCGGATTAAAGCAAGAAAATGAAAGTCAGTGTTCTCCACAGATGTAGATGTAATGAGAATGACTTCAATACATCTGCCAGTAATCAAAATAGGTCCACCTTCACCAGTGCATAGAGAAGTGGAATTCCAGTATCAGCAAGAACTTTGTTTTGCCCAGATAACTGTAAAGCCATCTCAGGAAATCGTGTATACTAATTTGCCTACAGAAGATGAGAGCCATATGATTAAATTGTATTCAATTATCTATACTAAGAAAGACTGAGCTGAAGAAAAAATGGACCTATCTTATCACAAAGATAGCCCTCCCCACTTGAGAGAAAGGGACCTCAAAATGTTCAATTCCTGAGTTGGAATAAAAAAAACCCAGTCAAATGGGTCTTTTTTCTCCATGAGAAGGTGATTCCACCAAAACACACCTCTCAGATAATCAAAATAAAAAATATCCATCAACTACCCAGAAAAACGAGGGGGAAAAATTAAAAAAAAAGAGCATAGAGTCTTCCAGAACCAGCAGTTGGAAATATTTACTTTGACATTTCTTGGGTAAAACCTTTATTCCCAAAGAAAATTTTCATTTCAAGAAAAAGAATTTTCACTGAAAAAATCATTCCAATGGAAAACATCTGGCCAGGGCTACAAAGGATAGGACCACTGGCCTCAGCCAGGGGAAGGCAAATACTAATCAAGGTCAGTGGACTGGGTCTGCCACAGTCCTTTTGGAAAATCACAGGCACAGCACATCCATCCTCCGTGATGTTAATTCTCCTCCAGCTTTTCTGCCTATGTAGATTCCCCATGCCTAAGGGTAGGAATCCTCTCTTGTTGTACATTGTACACAACCTAGTGTAACACGTGTGTTTAATGATTTTCAGCACTACAGTAACAACTGTGTTTGTCCCTCCTACAGCAGCTAATTTCCAATGTCGAGATGAGGAGAAAAATATGACCTATGGCTGCAACACACTGCTAATCAAATGCTATTGTACAGCATGGTGCTGTGGGGGGGATGCCTTTTCATTGTACAACTAATCAGGGTTTATACACACAAAACCAGACAACTAGATAGTCCAGTCTTGTGATCTGTGTTCCGAGCTGCCAGAAGGCAGGAAAGAGGGGTGTGGGGGGGGTGGTGGGGAGCATCTCCTGCGTTCCTAATGAAAGAAAAGAGATGACTGGACTAAGAGCTGATGAGGTTACAAGGCAACAGCAGTGCCATGAGTTGTTTGGGCTTAAAGCCAGATGTCTTGTATTTCCTTTGATTGTTTCTAAATAATTAATGGTATTAATTTAATCATGTGACCCACCCACCCCCCTTTTAGTATTTGGCTCTGTGTACTAACTAAATACAAAGGAGAAAAACAGTACTGTCTATAGCATACTGAATATTGATGCCGTGTGTTTGGACTGCAACAACAGCTGATACTCATATCCATGAGACTACATGTTCTACAGCACTCACAGAGTGTTTGCATGGAGTAGATGAAGTAGTATCCTTCATACTCCATCCATAAACCAACTCAACTATGACATATGGACACTGCATGTTTGAAGTAGTAAAATAGAGGGTACATCGCTCTCTCTCCGCCCACACTAAGATGAACCTGCCACTACTATTTCACGTAACATTTTCTGGCAAGCTCCCAGTTTTCAGTCATGCTGGTTTGCTTGAAAGAAACACTCAGAGGAGACACTGCTTGTCTTGCTGTTCGAACAAACAAAATAATCACGCATCTTGAGTTAATGGTCCAAAGCTTAATGAAGATCATAGAAAAGAGGCTGCCCATGATGAGAGCATTCCCTTCTGACTTAGCCACATAAGTCACTGCTGTTGGCAAAAGGAAATGGATTATGAGGATAATAATTAACCCTGAGCTCTGGTCTAGACAAACCTTTGCTTGGTACAGTAGCAGTAAGCGCACAAAGAAAACAGCAACAACCAGAAGTAAAAACTTCCCCAGGGCACTGGCAGCAACAGAAGGAGGACCCCTGTTTCTTGCTGGGACTTCAAGTGACACAGGCATCAAATAATCCCATAGGAATATTAGGGTTGAGTACTAGGACTGATGAAATCCAACAGCAGAATTCCTGAACAAATAAAGACTAATGAAGGCACCTCCCTACATGCATGATTCTATTATATGCACTCAGTAAAAGTGTTAGCCCACCCTCCTACATATCACAGCATACTCTCAGCTCCCCTAGTCAAGTCTCCAGTTCCACCCATCTTATCTACCTTTTTTCCTACCACATTTTGACTTATCTTGAATCTCATGATACTTACCACAGAATAAGAATCATAGAAGGGTTGGAAGGTACTTCTAAGGGTCACCCAGCCCAACCTTCCTGCAATGAGCAGGGACATCTTCAACAAGATCAGATTGCTCAGAGCCCCACCCAATCTGATCTGGTTTCCAGGGATGGAGCATCTACCACCTCTCTGGGCAACCTGTTCAAGTGCCTTATTGACCATCAGATAGTATTAAATGGGGTAGCTGTGAGGCAATGGAGAAAGAAATCTGACAGCTTGGAGCAGACCCTCACTTTGTCCAGCAATGCCCCAGACTTCTGGAGGTAAGGACAAACTGATAGGAGGCCCTCAAAGATGTCAAAAGAAATTTCCGAAGTGTGCACAAACCTAACCTCATCAAAGAGTACCTATGGGGAGTCAGAGAGGGCTTGCTCAAGTCTCATTTCTTGTATGTTATCCATGGTTCCTTATTTGGTTGTCATTCTGCAGTTACACTATCAGATCAAGAATGGCAGTGGTGGTTTTCTACAGTTACTTCACTCAAGGGTAGTGAACACTGAAGAATTCTCCACTAGAAAGCCTGGTTCTAGTCTTCAAGGACTTAGTAGTCAAGGCCTAGCAATCCTATAGGCATCTTCCTCCACCACAAACCCAGTAGAGGTTCATAGGAAGAAGTCTGTTTTATTACATAAAGATCATATGAGATGTAAGCTCTTCAAATGGGACTGGGGCAGTGCCAAAACAAGCACTGGCTCTGCACACTACAGAGAACATCACCTGGAAGAAGAATCACAATTGCCAAATCCCAGGCTGAGGCACTGCAGAGAGAGTGGCAGAGTGCCCTGGGTACCAGAGCTCAGGCTATGGGGCTCTTCTGCAATGAAGGAGCAGAATGAATACCACATTGACCGTGCTGGGAAGAAAACATCTCACCCTGTCCTATCAGTGCATCTCTAACATGGTTATAAGGTTGAATAACATCATGGATTTATTGCTCATGGATATATGTAAATGGAGAAAACATTAAATCATATCAGTTATAACAAGAAGAAGAAGAGTAACATACAGCCAAACTTAAGAGTGACTCCTTCAGTTCCTATCAGTACCTACAGCAGAGAGGCAACACTTAAAACAAGCAAAAAGCACATCAGGAAAACCTGATACCAGGGTCCTCACCTTGGGTAAAATGGGCTCTGTGGTTTTGAACTGAAACAAGAGGAAACTGCTTCTAGACAGGAATGATCATCCAGAAATGACTAAACTCTTTGCAAGGCAGAAACACTAGAAATAGACAAAAATATAGCAGAACAGTCCCAGGACTTTATGAACAACCCCTGTTCTTAACTGCTTGGTTTTCAGGATTTTGGGAGGTCGTGGTAGAGTGAGAAGACAGCATTTTTCCTGTGGTGACAAAGATCTCTCAAAGTATCCACATGTCCCACTCTGCTGAGAATGTATCTTTTGTTCCTTCTTCAGCATTATTTCCCTCTAATGATAGCTTTGCAGTGAACCCCCTTTGTGAGTTGCTCAAATAAATGTAAATTTTACCTTGTAAAGCAATACCCTCCAAAATACAACTATCAACTGACAATAAAAATCTGAAGAGCTAAAAGGCAGTGGGTTTCCCCCAGTGCCCTCATCTCCCCAGTGCTCCGGACTGCTTTTTATTATTATATATGGAGTTCCAGGAAGGGTACTTGTTATTATAAATATGTACTGTATTGAAATATATAGCCCAAGTCCCCAGGGCCCAACATTTTAATTGGAATTACAGTTGTGCAAATAACTGATTTATTTGGCTATCTGACCAAACTGTGAACATGGAAAGAAAAAAAAGCCCCGAAAAAAAATCACCTATGTGTTTAACAAAATGGA